ATAGAAACAGGAGACGACTAACTCTTAAAACAGTCCAAGAGAGCTCCAAATAATAAACATCCTACTTGAACGGAGATGATGATAGCTGAAAATGCATTAAGTAGACAGAGAAACAAAAACAAATGAAAGTGAGAACTCAGTCAGGTAGGTTGAAGTGGAGTAAATACTTTGTCAGGAGGGTAGCCCATGTTAGTGCTAATGCGTTTTGCATTAGTACGATGCCTATAAAATACTGACTCCTGGCATCAGAGTTAATGACAAAAATCTACATCAGTTTTACCTTATATACACATGCAGGAACAATAATACCATAAGAAAGATTCTTATCTGTTAATGCTTTTTAAAAAAAAAATTAATAATATCACAGCATGCAAAAGAGCTGGTAACAAACGGTAAGTGACAATTGTTACATAAATGTGTTATGGTTCTGAAGTTGAGTTTTGATCGATAATTGATGAAACAGAAAAAGATCAGACAGTACCAGAAACACACACCAAATCAAGTTGTTATTTTTAGAATGTTGTTCAGAGGACCAGATTAATCAGGCTAAACTTTTAATAAGAAGATTACATATATACGTGTCAATGTTAGGAGGATTTGTAGCTTCATTAGCAACTTCAGAGGAAGTAATACCTTCATGCATGCTACTGACTCAAAGGGAGTACTTTCTGTGGCTGGTTGAGGTTCTTAAAACAAATTTCAGCCCTGGAGGGTTATACAGAGGACGGTGATAAGTGTCTAAAATCACTTGCCACTAGTCTCGTCATCTTGTCCCAAGCCTGTATTGCTGGCAGTCAGGACCCAGCCAGTACTTAGAATCATAGAATATCCTGAGTTGGAAGGGACCCGTAAGGATCATCGAGTCCAACTCCTGGCTCCACACAGGACCAGCCAATCAGAGCATATGACTGAGAGCGTTACCCAGATGCTTCTTGAACTTAGTCAAGCTCGGTGCTGTGACCACTTCCCTGGGGAGCCTGTTCCAGTGCCCAACCACCCTCTCAGTGAAGAGCCTTTTCCTGATATCCAGCCTAAACCTCCCCCGTCGCAGCTTCATGCCGTTCCCTCGGGTTCTGTCACTGGTCACCAGAGGGAGGAGATCAGCGCCTGCGCCTTCGCTCCCCCTCGTGAGAAAGCTGTAGGCCATGATGAGGTCTCCCCTCAGTCTCCTCTTCTCTAGGCTGAACAAACCAAGGGACTTCAGCCTCTCCTCATACGTCTTCCCCTCTAGACCCTTCACCATCTTTGTTGCCCTCCTTTGGACACTCTCCAATAGCTTTAGTCCTTTTTGTACTGTGGTGCCCAAAACTGCACGCAGTACTCAAGGTGAGGCTGCGCCAGCGCAGTGTGGAGTGGGACCATCACTTCCCTAGCCCAACTAGCAATGCCACACTTGATGCACCCCAGGTTACGGTTGGCCTTCCTGGCAGCCTGGGCACGCTGTTGACTCATGTTCAACTTGCTGTCGACCAAGACCCTGAAGTCCCTTTCAGCATGGCTGGTCTCTAGTGTCTCATCGCCCAGTCTGTATGTATAGCCAGGGTTGGCCCTTCACAGGTGCACAATCCAGCACTTGCTGCAAGGTGAGGAAAAAGGGCCTGTAGGCAATACCGTAAAGTTGAGGGGAGAGCTGTTGCCTGCTGCAACAGCAGAAATCTGCTCCTCAGTGGAGCTTCTGTACATGAACTGTATGGCCAGAATCTCTAGCAGTGGTGTGATCTGCCTTGGACCCATTTTCCCTGGCTCTCAGGGACTCAGAGTCAGTATACGAGTGCTTGTGCCAGCCTTGTGCCAGTTTTGCAAGGGCAGCAGGCCAGTGAAAATGTGACTTATGAAGTTGTCAGGGTGCCGTTGCATCAGGTCTCCTGCATTTGGAGTATTCTGAGTGTAGCTGGAGAGTTAGAAAAGCTTTGAAGGAAGTGCAAGCAGCATGGAAATTGGGCCTATACCAAGGTTAGAGGAATACAAAAAGAGTTTTAAACTGTCCCCGGAGCATTTGCAAATTTGCTGGTGGTTCCTTCTTTTCTACAGTAAGGCAGAAGGAAATTAAAGGACTTACCCAAGATGAGAGTAAGTCATGTTGAGATCAAGATGAAAAGCTTTGCCTTCATCTCTAGGGTTATGTCTTTCTAAACTCTAAAAGGAGAGGGTTTGAGAACTCTTCTGTGTAAAGAACTACAGCTGATGCCAGCTGAGCCATATATAACAACAGACAGGCTGACTTGGAGTTTCAGTTGCATCTCACCAGACTTGAGTCTATTGAAATACTTAATGGCTGCTAGGCTGGGATCTTTCTGATCATAAGATTTTGGAGTCTCCAAAGGCATGTTTCTGCCAACACTTGCAGAGTATTATCACTGGCATAGGTGTTTCAGAAATTCTTGTTAAATGGCTCAAAATGGCCTTTTATGTCCTTAACTAGAGGAATTTTTGAATTGCTGGCTTTTTGCACTGCTGAAGTAGATTGAATTTTGGTTTGGCTGTGATAGAGATGCATATTATAACCCTCTATGAGCTGTGGTTTTATGTCTGTATGAAAAGCAGAAAAATTTGCACATTTGAAATGCATTAGCCTTATTTTTGTCCTCCATCTGTTTCCTCCCTCTGACTCCTCAGGTTTTTCGTTTTCACGTCTGGCTATCCACCAAGGTGCCTACCAAGTTCTTAAATGTATAGCTCAGCGGTTGGGCACTTCAGTTTGTGGATTTTGCAAACGTTTGAAGCCTTTGTTTGTTTGTTTTAGGAATTAGCTCTTAATATTTGATACTTTATATTTGAAATGAGGAAAGTGTATTCATATAGTTTGGGTGAGAAAGTGTATCACATTGGGACAAGACAGAATAATTCCTCAGAGTTTTGGGCATCAGCAGAAGAGTGTTTGGGCTCTTCATGTGATAAAAGAATGAACCTGAATCGCAGTGATGTCTGTAATTTCTTACCTAAAGAAAGATATGAGAAATTATTTCCTTTCTCATGTGCAATTACATTGCTGCTGTTGTCCCTTTCAGTTACTCAGCACACAGGCATACTTGATATTCTCTGTATGTAACAGTACTTCAGTCCTAAGTATGGAATAAAAATTACCTAAACCATTTGCTTGCCACCAATCTTAAAAATCTTCAGCAGCATCCTAGTACGTGTTGCTTTTAGTGCTTCCATTATTTTCTTTTGCACTTGATATGGCTGTTGTCCAGCTGGCTGTTACTGGTGTCTGATGGAGAGGTATGCAGTGGGCTAGCTCTGTAATGTTTCCATCCACCAGTTCTTTTCACTTTATTTAACCTTTTCATGCTTTACTTCAACAAAACATTTCGAATTCAGCTTTGTCCGGATGAGATTTTTCAGAGGTGATGCATTAAGCTGTTGCTGATGGCCCTCATGATGATGAGTTTCTTGGTTTCTGGGTAAGAAGTCCGTAATAGTGGCTGGGGAACTGAAATGGAGGGAGAAAATAAACAGTATATATAACCTTGAGGAGAGGATACAGTATATACTGCTCTTAAACACTGCTAAAAACACATGGAAGTTTTTGTAATAATTCTTTTCTATGGATGCCACAGGGGAGTTGCGTGGTTGTCAATGGGAAAGCAGGGTCTATGGAAGTTTTTGTAATAATTCTTTTCTATAGATGCCACAGGGTAGTTGCGTGGTTGTCAATGGGAAAGCAGGGTCATTCGTGAGACTGCAAATGGGAGAACTGGCTTCGAGTCAGAGACTTAAATACCTGCCGGGGGGGGGTTAGCTGGTGAGAAGCTCTAGCTTTTTCCCATTAATTTTCAGAAGAATTTTTTGAATGCCATCAGGGCTTCACTCTCCTGTGCTTGCATGTAGACCATTTCTATGAGTTTTTCTTTCTTGCATCTAAATAAAACCAGAAGTCCTGGTCATGGACAGCCATTAATAATGGCTGAAAATAACTTCTTGCAGAAGGGTTCTAGTTAAGCAGTTATGCTTGGCCTACAGCAAATTTGTCTAGCAATTTCAGTTAGAGAAAATATTTTTTATTTCCTGTTTTTAAGATATTAGCAGTATTGCAGTGCTTCATAACCACATTATACTGTTGGTACAGCACATTTCATTAGCTGGGAAGGGAGTTTTGACATAATCACGCAAAAAGCTGCTGATCTTGCTCTATGGAGTAGTTGTGTCCAAGATACTGAAGTACTCGCACAAGTAAAACTAGTGGGACGAGGTTCGGGAGTGTGAAGTTTTTCTCCTAAATACAATGACTTAATAGCTCAAGATAAAGTGCTGCCTGCAGTACTAATAGGGTAGATCTTGCAGAAAAAATTACCTTCCACATAACAAAAAAGTAATTTTAAATGGCTGTATTTGAATGTGTACTTGAATGAGCTGCTACTGTTTGTGCATATATTCTGTTGATGGTTTAGATACACAAATAGAAACTAAGAAGTTCTTATTACAGATTTGTATTTCATCATTACAGGTGAAACCATGAACAAAGGAACTGCTACAAAATTGCATTTTTGTCTGTTTCCTGTTGCTTTCAGTACTTAGAACATAAGATTTTTATTCAATCTGGGTTAGTCTTGGGTGAACTAAATGCAGGTCTACTTATGATTTAGTAACTAGCCTATGCATTTGCGTTTAAAAATCCTGCTGCTGGAAAGCATCCTAATAGCTGTTCAAATTATTTATGCTTTAGGTTAACTTTGCAGCTTTCTTCTATGGATTATGATTTACAGTGATTATTTTGTTTGTGGTTGTCAGAGAGATCATCACATTGTCAGGATGCAGAAGAGCCACATGTTTAACTATCCAACACTGTTCAGGTAAAGCCAACAGTATGAATGAGCACTGATATATACCTATGTCAGTAAGTGCAAACAAGTGTTCCTGAAGCAAGATGTGAAGAAACAAAACTAAGAATATGATCAGAACTTTACACCCTCTCTTCTGTAATTGTAGTAGTTCAAGATTCAGTGTTTATGTATCATTCTAGTTTGAGTTTCCATTTCTTACGGTTTGTTTTCTTCCAGCCTCTTGGGGCCAGTGACTACTTGGAAATATCAAAGCATTTTGACACGGTCTTTGTTCGTGACATACCACTTCTTACAATGGCAAAAAGGACACAAGCTCGACGTTTCATTACTCTTATTGATACTTTTTATGAGCATAAGGTGAGAACCAAGCCTTTCCTATATGTATAGGAATAATACTGGGAGCCCTAAAACCTGACTGTTACAATTGTTTTGAAGCAAGCCTTTCTGTAGAAATTATTTGGAAAATATAAGCAGAATGAACTAGCACTGCAAAGAAACATCATTCCAGCTTCACAAAAAAAGGCTGTTGCAATAAAGCAGGTATTTATTTTTTTATTTCTATGAGTATTAAGCATGACCATAAATACGAGCCTGAGTTCATTTTTAAGATGATTTTTAAAAAGTAATACCAGATATGAAACCCTATCTTATGTGTGATTATATATGCACACACTTAAATATTTATGCAGTCAGGAAATATCGATTGAGATTTGTTTTTCAAGAATGTCCTGGCAAGATGATCTGAAAGGCCCTGATTCAGCAAGGTATTGAACTAACTAAACATATGAGTAGTCTCATTTAAGTCAGCCAGATTCTTTGTGCTTTATGGTTTGGAAATGGAGAGTTTCTAAGAGGATATGCTAATATTTGTAAACTAATACTAACGTGTTGGAAACAGAGAGAGGGTGGGTGTGATTTGCTCTATCTACATGCTGTCATTAAGAACTGCAAGCAAATAGCCGCTTTCTGTTACTTCCTCCATAGGAAAATCACAAGTGTTAAACTCCTGTCACAAGTAGTTGTTTGGAAAAATTCCCTGAGAGAGCATATTTGTGGACACCTATCCACAATGCAAACATTTTGCCCACATGCTATCAACAAGTGTCTCCTCCTGTAATAATATTTCAGCCTATCTTCATTGCAGCCCCCCCAGAGATACTGTATCTCACTGCACGTTGTATCTCCTCCCAGCAGACATGAAAACAGCATTATTATTATTATTGTTGTTGTTGCTGTTGTTGTTGTTGTTACTATTATTATTATTATTATTAAATGTGCACTTGAGTAGCATAGGTGAAAGCAAGAGCGGCTCAACTCGGCCTTCTGGGAAAATTGGACTGTAAACATTCTTTAGATGGAAATGTGTGTGCAGTGCACTTACCTAATCAGAGGAATCTATAGGGGGGAAGCATTGGTTCCTAATACTTTATAGCTGTTATTTTGGAAAGTAAACTTGATTGTGGACTCATTGCCTGTATAGCAGAAATTCTGAGTATTTAATAGCACAGCTATGCTGTTCTCTGAGTAAAAGTTACATGAGTTGTTATGAAGAAAAAGATCCTGTTAATATTCCAAATGACTAAGGTAAATCTGTAACAGCAGAGCTAACAAGAGAAAGGGAAAATACTTGGAAAAAACCCAAGGTCATAATTTGAAGTTTGCTTTTCATAAAACACATATTTTATCCCTTTTCTGTAAAGCCCAAGTGATGACATCATTGCCTGTTTTCCTTCTCTCAGGTGCGTATTATTTGTTCTGCAGTGACTCCTCTCCAAAGCTTGTTCCTGGTAGAGCATGACAATGGTGAGCTAGAGGACAACAGAGTGTTGATGGATGATTTGGACTTGAGCCAGGTACATGATATTAAAATCGTCTCCCTTTTGTAACAAAATTGGTTTTGGTCTCATAATTACAGCAGCATTTTTAGGAAGAGGAATCAAGTAAACATTTAACTAGGGATTTGCTGCTTTTTCTGCAGCATATCTGTTGCTCTCATAATTGCATGTTATGCTATTGATTCATCCTCAAAGAAAATGTCACAATATATAGAACCATTTTGCATAAGTTTTAGGGTCATTTTGATTGTTAATCTTTATATCTGTTCAATCATGTAAGAAAATACCGATTTAAGTTTAGCTCCTACATTTAAAATACAGAAATAAAAGACGGTCTGTTCCATCTCTTTGTAAACTATACAGGGCTGCCTCACAAACAGTACTATTTTGCATATTGCTTATTCCATTTTTCCTTTTCCCTATGGCTTAGTTATTGTTAATGAATTTTTAAATTATTTGTCTAGATCAGTATACAGTTAGTCAACAGAAAAGTGGAAATAGATGGTTAACGTGTCATCATGTAGTTTTAAATCCAAATTATTGCTTTGGTGTGTTCCTTCAGAGGATTATCTATAGGTTTTTAATTTCTGGAGGTTAATTTTATTTTCCCTTGCCATGCTGCTGTCTTGTATCATCCAAGCCTGCAAAGCACTCAGCCTTAGGAGTTAGGTAGGATGCGCTTCACTATAGCTATGTCTCTCACCGTTTTGTGGTACTGTTTCTGTGTATTAATGTAGGATTCCGCCAAAGGACTCTCCATGTTTACAGGAGAAGAGGAAATCTTTGCCTTTCAGCGTACCGTCTCACGGCTTACAGAAATGCAAACTGAACAGTACTGGAAAGATGGGGACAGAAGCAAAAAAAAGGTTATAACTGAAAGTTGAATAAAATCAACAAGAAGTAAAACTACGGAATTGGAAAGCTTTTTAGCACAACTGAAAAAATAATTGCACTTTATTGGCTGGACCATGTTTTTCTTTCATCAGTTGGTTTTTGTGCTTAAGACATGAGGACTTGCTTATTTTTCTGTACCAGCAGTGTGAGGGCATATGGAATTTTGCCTTCATTTTCTTGTCTGTAAAACATTAACTTTGATGCTCAGGAAGTTTAATGGGATTAGAATTTTTCTGGAGAATTGGTCTAGAGACAAAGTTAATGGCCCATGCAGGGTTCAACAGTAGATGTGTAATGTCACGTGAAGAGGGCACTTTGTGGTTCACGCCCTGCTTCTGTCATGTACAATGCAGTTTGCGCAAAAGAAAAATCAAATGCTTTCTTTATGGAACTCCTGATATTGTCTAGGTCCCTGGAACTCCTTTGTGGTGTATTCTGGTTTGGGTTTTTTTTTTTCTGTTGTCTGTGTGTAGCCATCTGCTGACTTTCAGGCTCTAAGATTTTCTTCTAATCAGGCTGTTGCTCAGTCTGGTTCGTTGAAAACTAAGGGTTTGAACCAAGAGAGAAGCCTGAGGAGGAGCTTGAAGGTGCTTGAAACCACAGGGGATTAAGATCTAAGTTATCATGGATGGGAGAAGAAACTATCATAAGACTGGGTATACTGTAACATACAAGTGCAAGTTAATACTCTTCCTAAATTTTCTGGTTCTTAGAAGCCTGGATATGCTGCCTCTACAGCGGTGACATATTTCTACCCTGAATTTTCTCTGGCTTCATCTATACCAAATCTTACGTTGGTGCCGGCACACCTGCTCTGACCAGGGGAGAGCAGTACATGGTACTGCTGAGGCAAGTCAGCATGTTACAACAGGAATGTGGTTTATGGAAAAGATGGGATGTTAACTGATTCCCCAAAACACATCACCTGTCCTTGTGTTTGTAGATGGAAGCTTTCTTTTAGTTAAAAATGCAATTGTGTCATTCTTGGTTTTAATCTAACTGAAACAAAATAGGGTATTGCCTGTATTGGCTGATACTGTATTTTTAGAAAAAGTCATTTAAAGAGCATATTTAGAAACCCTGAATAGGGAAAAATATTATGCAGATAGACTGAAAAGATTGCCCTAATTTCTTAGGGAGGAGTTCTATAGCATACTGTCCCCAAATTTGAGGAGTTTCCTTGGATTTTGCAAGATGACCTTTTTCTTGTACTGTATCTGTTACCAAAATTATTCTTTTCTGCCTTTGTTAAGCTTGACTAAATTGCTTCAGTCGTAACCCCCATGACAATTACAGAAAGCTTTTAAAAGGGACTTTTGGGCGGCAGGGAGGACTGGAGAGGTCTTGTGCACTTGCACGTCTTATGGCCATACAGAAGGTTTGGAGCCACGTGCTCAAAGCTGGTTTTCTGCTCTGATCACTTCTGTTTGCCCTGGAAGTTACTTATACTGGCTATACCTGTTCTTCAAAGAACTTTTAAAGCCTATATTTATAATTTACAACTTATGCAACTATGTTGTTACGCCCACAAGGGTGACCACCATGGAGAATTTTAATGCATATTTATGAAAAACCCCATCAGAATATATTGCTTATACTTAAGAATATCTGAAAAAAGGGTGTATATTTTCAGAGATTTTTATTAGGTTTCTCAACAGAGGGACTACTGAGATTCATGCGTGTCTGTCTGTACATGCACACACATATGTATACTTATATATATAAATATAGATAAAAC